CTGGATCATAATCACCAAAAATCGATGGAAATCAAAGAACCAGCCCTCGATGTCTCTCTCTCTCTCTCTCTCTCTCTCTCAAGTCGCGTCTTTGTTCAATCGACTGAAATCGAAAAGCATATCATCGCTAAAATTACCTTTGTAAAAGGGCAAAAAAAATCCCCTATTTCACGTACACAAAACCGTGCCGTTTTACTGGCACAAATGTTACCCTCTGTTTCATACCATGTTACACCACCGTTTGCTAATAAACTTGTCTAGCATAATCGGGAATTTAAAAGATTTGTTCACAGATTGGACGGCATTTGCCAAAAACGCCACCAAAAAAACGTAGTTATATCTCATTTTTCCTGTAGTGAATGGACGATGTTATGTCCTGTCAACAAAGACAATAGTAAAATTTATCACATTTATTATAATTTTGAGTAGATAATTGAATAAATATTTCAATATGAATAATGTGAAATATTATTTAAAAAAATAAAAAAATAAACTTCTACCAACTCATAAGCTTTGATGACAAAATATAATTCAATACCGTGCGTCGTATATAGCAAGAAATAAAGTCGCACCAACCTACTTTCAGCGACGAAAATTCTATTTTTAGTCACCAATTCTGTTTTTTCTTGTAATGTGCACAGATTAGTGTGGGTTTGTTTCTAAAGTATGTTACAACAAGAGTTAGAGAACAAATACCAACACACACAAAATTCTTGTCCTAAATCTATTATTTAAAACTATACAGTGTACAAGGTTTACAGTGTAGTAATTTCTTAACTAAACACTAAATAATTAACAAAATACTAAAAATTAATTAAAAAATAACAAAGTCAAATTAAACCAAAAATTGGGTACTAAAAACAAAATGAACTTGTCAAAGCAGACGATGACTATGAGCACAACATTGTGCTGTGAGCCTTTTAAGTCCTGTTTCAAATTTATTTTAATAATCCGAACTGTTCATAGTGTAAGGTTTATTAAGTAGATCATTGATATGATAGTTTGCATACCAAAATATATTAATTAAAATCGAGTAATAACCGCTACTCCGAAATATAGCGGTTGTGAACGGATGTCAAACTAGAGAAATTATGAAAGTTGACATTAATTTAAAGATTTTTTGGCTGGAGGATGGAAAATAATAAAAGGAAAGCCTTAGGACTTAAAATCCACTACTAATCTTATAATTTGGGATTGTTCGTATTTTGATTGTAGAAAATCATTAAAATGGGTACTACGATGTGTCTTGGTCGGGATACATCACTTAAAAAGATTAGTGTTTTAAAATCAAAAAGTCACGAATCGTCTTCGCTAACATGGATCGTCACCGCTAAACAAAAGTTAATGCATAACCCGTCTTATTAAGTATGACTCATCTAACAATTTTATTACACAAGCATGAAAATCATTTGTATTCATAACGAGTGAACACATAATTTGAAAAAACAATATTTACAGAAAAATTTAAATTATACAACAGTATCCAAATAAATTAAAAGTCTACAAAACTAAATACAAATTACCTCTATCACTTGATTAGAGTTTCATTTTAACCCTACGATTAGGAAATTAGTTTCACCTAGTGGGTGTTTGGGAAATGGCTATTTTAGAGATTTTTTGGCTATTTTAGTAGGCTATTTTAATTTTTGTGTTTGTAAAGATATGATAGATTTTTATTTGAGTTGTTGTATTAAAAAATGTATTTGAAATGATATTTGAGGTTGAAATGACAAATTTGTCCCTAACTTCATTTTTTTCAAAATTGGTCTATAAGGGCAAAAATGTCATTTCAGCCTATGGGATTAGGCTGGCCAACCCTCTGCTCATCCTCTATCCACTGCCAGTTGCTTTGGTTTTTGTTTTTGTTTTTGTATTTTTTATAAATATAAATTATTAGTTTAGGATCCTGTTTGAGGTTATTTGATTTTTTATTTTTATTTTTGTATTTGAGATTATTTTAGCCTCAACTTTGGATTCCCAAACACCTCCATAATTGTGAAACTATCACTCTATAAAAAAAATAAAATAATAAATAAATAAATATAAAAAACACTACACGTTTTCACTATCACATTGCCATTCACGTCTGAACTCCCTCCCAGCTCTCCCCTTTGTTGTCTCTTCGCATTCACCCAAGCTCCTCAATTTATAGGCCTGCAAAAATTAATAAAATAAGTAAATAAAATATATAATAAATGTATAAGGTGTTGATGGTGATGCTTATGTTTGGTAAATGATGGCGTTGAGCATGATGATAATGTTGGATAGAAAAATGGTTGAGAGTATTAAAAATGATGTTTTAATAGCACTATTAATGATGTGATAGTGGGCGGGGCTTATTGCCTTGGTTTTTTTTTTTTTTTCTTTTTTTGACATTCTCAATGCATTTGTGTTATTAGTGATTTTTTTTTTAATGGTATGAATCATTGTTGATGTTAGATATAATGATGATAACGATCAGCGAAAGGCGACTATTATATATATACATATATATTTTATAATAAAAATAATATAAAATATTTAAAATACACTATTTACATTAAATTTATGTACAAATGCTAAAATATATATAAACATACAAAATCACATAAAATTATAAAATAATATAAATAAATAGACTAATAAAATATATATTAACAGGTCAAATATATAAAATTTAGGCACTGATCAATCATCTATGAAAAAAATTTAAGTTAATTAGATATAAGTAACTGACAATAAGACCATGTTTATGTTTAGAAAAAAAATAAACGGTTAGTATGATTTTAATAATTTTTTAAAGTTATTATTCGGTTTGATCATGGAGTTAAAATTATCCGATTAAATTTATTTATTTTTTAAATAAATGATATATTGAACGAATCCTATAATATGCACGACATTATCAAAATATGATCTGAATAAATCTCACGAGATGTGATAGCACGGTTTTTGTCACAGCATCCACCCTAACTCCTTTTAGGTGTAAATTGAAAAAAAAAAAAAACTTGAAATAAGAAAAATAAAAAAAAAAACCTTTAAGAAGCAAAGTAAAAAATGACTGAAGAAAGCTTAAGTATAATTTACCCCATAAAATAATTTTCACAACCAAAAGATCATAAACAAAAGATTTGGCTAAAAAGGTAGGTAAAAAAAACTTGTATGTTTGGGATGACTTTTTAGCTAATTACGAAAAGATGTGTAAAAAGTAGAGAGAAAAGAGAATTTTTGACTTTTTGGTATAAGTTGTTGACTTTTTGACTAATTTAATAACTTTTTGACTAATTGACTAAAAAAGTAAGTCCCCAAACGAGGCCTAAGTATAATTTACCCCATAAAATAATTTTCACAACCAAAAGATCATAAACAAAAGAGCTCTGCTGGGACGCTCAGTACTCCACTTTCACGTGGGGCTGTGAGAGCCAGTCTTAAAAGAAAAGAAAAAAAAAAAAAATTTCACCAATCAAAAAACAGTGAATTGGTGGGGTCACCGCCACCAGAGGTCTAAATCTTTTCTGTAGACAAAAATCACATTACACTTGCACCTAACACCAAACACACATTACACTTGCACCTAGCACCTAACACCAAACACACACGTTAAGAAGAAGAAAAAAAGTGATGTTATAAAGAAATTTTCACAACCAAACAATCATAGACAAAAATCAAATAACACTTCTCAAATACTTCATAGTGTTCAAAATCAAACTCAAATTGATGATATTATGAGAACAATTTCCATATTAGTTAACCTAACTCATTTTTCTTCATTTTCTTCTTAATTTCTTTCAATTACATGATATTGATTTCAATTTGATCTTTAATTGCAAGTGTAATGTGAAGATTCTACACAAATTAAACATAAATTCAACACCTTAAGTTTTAATTTTAGAAAATTTAGTTGAATCTCTTCTAATTCTTCTTATTCTTCCTCAAAATCTTGAACTCTCCTTTCAAATTCTCTTCTTTTCTAGCTTTTCTTTCCTTGGTTTTTTTTTTTTTTTTCTTTTTTTGACATTCTCAATGCATTAGTGTTATTAGTGATTTTTTTTTTAATGGTATGAATCATTGTTGATGTTAGATATAATGATGATAACGATCAGCGAAAGGCGACTATTATATATATACATATATATTTTATAATAAAAATAATATAAAATATTTAAAATACACTATTTACATTAAATTTATGTAAAAATGCTAAAATATATATAAACATACAAAATCACATAAAATTATAAAATAATATAAATAAATAGACTAATAAAATATATATTAACAGGTCAAATATATAATATTTAGGCACTGATCAATCATCTATGAAAAAAATTTAAGTTAATTAGATATAAGTAACTGACAATAAGACCGTGTTTATGTTTAGAAAAAATAAACGGTTTGTATGATTTTAATAATTTTTTAAAGTTATTATTCGGTTTGATCATGGAGTTAAAATTATCCGATTAAATTTACTTATTTTTTAAATAAATGATATATTGAACGAATCTTATAATATGCACGTTATTATCAAAATATGATTTGAATAAATCTCACGAGATGTGATAGCACGGGTGTTGTCACAGCATCCACCCTAACTCCTTTTAGGTGTAAATTGAAAAAAAAAAAAAACTTGAAATAAGAAAAATAAAAAAAAAAACCTTTAAGAAGCAAAGTAAAAAATGACTGAAGAAAGCTTAAGTATAATTTACCCCATAAAATAATTTTCACAACCAAAAGATCATAGACAAAAGAGCTCTGCTGGGACCCTCAGTACTCCCAGTTTCGCGTGGGGCTGTGAGAGCAAGTCTTAAAAGAAAAGACAAAAAAAAAAAAAAAAAAATACAAAAAATTTAAAAATATTTTTTTAAAAAAACACCGCCACCGGAGGTCTAAATCTTTTCTGTAGACAAAAATCACATTACACTTGCACCTAACACCAAACACACATTACACTTGCACCTAACAGCAAACACACACATTAAGAAGAAGAAAAAAAGTGATGTTATAAAGAAATTTTCACAACCAAACAATCATAGACAAAAATCAAATAACACTTTGCACCCGCACACAACACATTGCTCTCTCTCTCTCTCTCTTTCTCTCTCTCTCTCTCTTTCGTTGAATCAATTCGAAACCCGTAACAAACCATATATGTCGACGATGGTGACTAACTCCTCATTACCGGAGCGACACATCGCGGTGCTTGCGTTCCCATTCGCGTCCCACGCCGGCCTAACCCTTGGGCTAATCCGCCGTCTAGCGACGGCTTCCGTGGACGTGACTTTCTCTTTTTATAGCACTGCAAAGTCTATTCAGTATTTGCTCTCATCCTCACCAATCCCGGACAACATAAAACCTTGCCACGTGTTGGATGAGTATGTGTTCTCCGAGAATATGGGGGACATTGAGTTATTCTTAAAGGTGGGGAAGGAGTGCTTTAAACGAGCCATGAAGGCGACGGAGGAGGAGACGGGGCGGAGGATTAGTTGCGTGATGGCGGATGCGTTTGTGTGGTTTTCCGGCGACATGGCAGAGGAGATGCGGGTTCCGTGGGTCCCACTTTGGACTTCAGGGGCATGCTCCTTGTCAACTCATTGCTACACTGACCTTATCAGGGAGACTGTTGGAATCCATGGTATAATTTTTTTTCATTATTACTTACACAAGCTGAAATCACTCCTTCAATTCTCTCTTCTTGTTTTTGTAAAGAGTATAGGAGTTGGATGCTGTTTGTGTCGGTGGAATCTAATATGGGTCTGTTTCCATAATTCATTTATTAATTTTGTAAGGTATTTCCACAAAAAAAAAAAAAAAAAGATTTTAGAGACTAAAATTTAGGGATAAAATTATTTTTTAGGAAGTAAATAATTTTGTAGTGAAAAGTGTCGTTATTATATTTTTAGTAACAAAAATTAGACATTAATAATGAATTATTTTCCTTTTGGGACCAAATTTTTTGTCAAAAAATAAACTATTTTGAGACCAAATTATTTTGTCCCTAACGCTGTGTTTAGTTGGAGGATTTGAAGAGGGATTTGGAAAGGGAAAGGAAAAAGTTTGGTGAAATGTGAATAAAATATACCTATATTTCACCTAGTTTTACACACCTTTTCCCTTTCCTTTTTCAAATCTCTCCCCAAATCTCTTAACCAAATACAACATAAAAGTTTTTTTATTAATGAAATTTTCAAAATTTTGTCGGTAAATGTCTTTTTTGACTTTTCGGGATAATTTTTTAGCAATTATCTTCATAACGATGGAAATTAGTTTATAAATGTCCTTTACAATAAAATTTTTACTTTTAGAGAAAAAGAGAGCAAAATATTTTATCTCTAAAACTTTTATATGTTGTAGTGCTCATGTATATCATGAGATATATAAAAAAGAAAAAGAAAAAGAAAAAATTAAATCCATCCGATGGTCATAATCTATTCAATTTATTACATTTATGTCAAAAAAATGACGACAAATGTAGTTTTGAAAATAGAAACGCAATAAATTGAATATTTTACGATTATTAGATTTATTAATTTTAATTAATTTTTTTTATTATAAATGATATACACAAACACCTTATTAAATAAACGGTTTCAATCATCAAAACGCGATTTGTAATCAGCCCAGGAGTCACTGGAGAAAAGTACAGTCCTTGCAAAAATGTGTTTACATAATTAGAACCACTATCTTAGACCATCTCCAACAGGTTCACCAAACCTGGCATCAAATTTGAAATTTGGTGAAAAAGCCACTTTTGAATCTCCAACAGTTTCACCAAACTGGTATTAAATTGAGAATTGAACAAAAAAATAATCAAACTGAGAACAGGATACAGATTTCAGCAAATTACTGTTTGTGACCGTTGGAGGAGAGGAACTAGTCTACCAGCCGGTTGCCCCGCCGGTTGACCAACCGGTCGACCACGAAAAGGTTCAAACAGTTCAAATGGGTAAGTTCAAACAATTCAAAAAAAAAAATATTTTTGCCTTATCAGTCGACCAATCGGTCGACCACTAAAAGGTTCAAACAGTTCAAATAGGTAGGTTCAAACAATTCAAAAAAAAAAATAATTTTTTTGCCTTACCGATCGACTAGCCGATCGATCAACTGGTTGTCCCTGGAGCAGATTTGATGAAAATCAACCATTGAAGCATTCTGTATCAAATTGAGAAAATAGTCATTTTTTTACTCAAATTTAATAAAAAATTAGGTGAACCGTTGGAAATGCTCTTAGGCCATTGTGGATAGTTTGATTCATTCATCTTCTTAATTCATTCATGTGTGTATAGACTATTCATAAATAAATAAAAATAAAATTAATTCGATAATTGTAAGGATATTATTTCATTGTGTTAGTTTTCAAATAAATGGACAATGTATTTTTAAATGGGTAAATTATCACTAGGTTAGGTCTTAATAATTAGACTTAATTTTTATCAAGTCCTATTAAAAATAAGTCATACGCCAAAATTGGGCTTTAGCGGCGGTTTTTTACCGCCGTTAAAGGCTATAAAACTGCCGTTAAAGCCTTTAACGGCGGTATTAAGCCGTTTATGCGCATGTTGGAAAAAGTACAACCGTCGTAAAAAGGTAAATTACCGTCATTAAAAGCCGACCAAAAACGGCGGTTTTTTACCGCCGTAAATAGGTTCAAATTTTTTAAAAAATAATTATTTCTTCTTGCACTCCCCAAGTCTTGAACCCTCAACCTCTCATCCACCCACACTAACCACTCTACCATAGCCACTCTTCATGAAATATATTCCCTAAATAAATATTTAAACATTACTTTTACTTTATTGTAGATGGTTTCGCCGGAGCTCGCCGAAGTTTCGCCGACAAAGACTGCCGTCATTAACGGCGGTAATGATTGGGCATTAGCGGCGGTTTTGTTACCGCCGTTAAAAGTGGACATTAACGGCGATTTTTTTAACGGCGGTAACAAAATCGCCGTTAATGATACCTTTAACGATGGTTTTCGTTACCGCCGTTAATAGTACCTTTAATGACGGTTTTCGTTACCGCCGTTAAAAAAACCGCCGTTAATGCCTCGTTTTGGCGTATAACAAAATTATCGCTTAAAATAATTTTTTATGGTGCTTTTTTTGCTTGTCACTAAAAATTAATAATTAGTGAATTTTTTGTCACGATTTTAATAAATTGTCTCTAAAACTTATAATTAGTGACATTTTTCTGTAATGAATTTTTCAAACTGTCGCTGAAAGTTGAAAATTAGTGACTTTTTTTTTGACGATTTTTTTAAACTGTCTCTAAAACTTATAATTAGTGACATTTCTTGTGCTAAAATTTTCAAACTGTCGTTGAAAATTAATAACTAGTTACGTTTTTTTAATAGTGTTTAATGAAAAGTGTCATTAATTATCACAGGACTTATTGGACAATCCACCTAATAAGATCTACACATAAGTATCCTTCCTTAAATATACAATTTATGTTATTCTTCTAGAATAAATATTATGAAATTATCACTTTTAATTTCGTTTAAAAATTTCAACCAAAATTATCTAGTGTTCTGGGAACAATACATGACTATATGCCCAAGCAATCATATTTTGTGAGGTTTTTTTATTTTTAATTTTTATACTGTTTCTATTTTTTTTGGACCATATGTAAGTACACAATTCCTTTTGGGGTCACCCCCTCACCCCCCTTTGCCACGTGGCAGGGGGTGATTGGTGGTGCAGGAAAAAAAAGAAAAAGAAAAAGAAAAGGTAACCAATGAGAGAGAGAGGGGGTCAAAGGGGGTGGGGGAAAAGGGGGATGAATCATTACTCTTTTTAAAAAACTGAATGATTATCCTTGGTAAAGATTTTAAGTTAATCAATTTTTTTAGTGATTCATCATGAGTCATTCCATCAAATCCCTTGGGCTCAATGGGGATGCAAAGACTTAACTGTATGATGGAAAATTATTAGGTAATCTTGAAGTACCACAATCTCTCAAGGATTGTCTCCCATTTTAACAATTCAAGACAAGATATTTCCCATAACAAAACACTCAATCAAGTGGTCTCTATTTTAAAAAACAGCAGGATTAGATATTTAGGCGTGGTTTGCTAATATTTATTTTATTTATTATTATTATTTTTCATAGAAAACGTTCAATAGTTTACGGGTACTTTTGATAAAACTCAAAACATATTTGGTGGAGTTGTTTAAAAACTTAATTAAAAACAAGTAAAAAGGATAGTTGGGGAGGTGATGACTGAAAGTGATTATTAATAGTCGAGATATGGTGTCAAAGGTGGAGCAAGTTACTAATTGCCAAAGACATTGATCGAAGGATGTTATTGGCCATAGAATGTGGGTGACACCGGTAGGAGGTAGTTGGTGGCAGGTCGCGACAAGCAGGTGGTAGCTGAAAGTGGTTATCGAATAGTCAGAGATAGTGGCCGACCATCAAAGGTGCTTTTGATAAAAGGTGGTGGTAAAAAATGATTGTCATCAATAGGAGATAGTGGCTAGAGGTGGTTGTAAAATGTCACCAACATTGTGATATGAATCCTTAAATATATTATCAAACAAACCCTTAATAATATATATATTTTTTAAAATCTTAAAATACTGTCAAAATTTGACATTTGTGAATCATATTCATTTAATTTTGATTTGACAAACTAAATTTAAATATACACAATAGATTGGAATTATAACACTTTTTTCGTGTTTTAATTTTTTTTTCTTCCCATAATTGAATTAAACATAATATAATAAATCCCATTTTTTTTAAAAAAATCCCGAAATATAAATAAAATTAGATATATATATATATCGATTAGGGTCTCTAGCATTTTTATTTTTATTTTCAATCCGCGGAAGAACTTTATCATCAACTACATGTATTTTCTTTCTCAGTATCTATATGATTTTTTTAATTTTTTTAATTTTTGTCAATAGCTAATAAAGTAATTAAAAATATGACAAATATTGTGGGTGTTTGGGAAGTTACTATTTTGGTAGGTTATTTTAATTTTTGACTATTTTAATAGGCTAAATTTTTTGTATTCGGAAAAATAGTTAGATTTTCTTGTAACTAGATGTAATGTTTATGGGAAAAAAATGAAATGATTATGAATTTGATGTGACATTTTGTCTTATTGACTATTTTAACCCCCTTTTTTTTTTTTGGTTGTGAATTTTAGCCTAAAAAGTCAAAAAATAACATTTGCCAAACACCCCCTTACAACAAACAAACTAATAGTCAAGAAAATCAATAATCATTAAGCCCAACAAACACCACAATGGGAAAGAAATAAACGTCACAAAGAATTCAAACAAAGAAATAAACGTCATAAAGTGGTGCTACACAGTAGGCAAAGACCACGGTTTAGAATCCATCTGATTGCGAACTTCATATGGATGCAAATGCAGGCATTGCAGGACGCGAAAACGAAATCCTGAAATTCGTCCCAGGATTTCCAGAGCTGCGACTTGGTGACTTGCCTAGTGGGATCCTATTTGGGAACTTAGAATCAGCCTTCTCAATCATGCTACATAAAATGGGACAAACATTGCCCAAAGCAACAGCTGTTCTAATAAACTCATTCGAGGAATTAGACCCAGAAATCAACAAAAATCTCAACTCCAAATTTCTCAAATTCCTCAATGTTGGCCCTTTCAACCTCACATCACCACCACGATTATCCAATTCAGACGACTACGGCTGCATATCGTGGCTGGACAAGCGAAAACCCACCTCTGTGGCATACATTGGCTTTGGAACAGTGGCAAAACCGACACCTGATGAGTTGGTGGCACTAGCCGAAGCACTAGAAGCTAGCACTACTCCATTTCTGTGGTCGATGGAAGACAAATTGAAAGAGCAATTACCAGAAGGATTCTTGACACGAACAAGTGAGCAAGGAAAAATCGTGGCATGGGCACCTCAGGTACAAATTTTGGCACATATCTCAACCGGGGTTTTCATAACTCATTGTGGGTGGAACTCGGTGTTGGAGAGCATTGCAGCTGGTGTGCCAATGATCGGTAGGCCATTCTTTGGGGATCACCATATCAACACATGGATGGTGGAAAATGTATGGAAAATTGGTGTGAGAGTTGAGGGTGGAGTCTTCACAAAAATTGGGACAATGCATGCCCTTGAACTAGTTTTGTCGCACGAAAGAGGGAGGAAACTAAAGGAGCAAATTGGACATTTCAAAGAGCTGGCTCTCAAGGCTGTTGGACCAAAAGGGAGCTCATCTCAAAATTTCTGTACTTTGTTAGAGGTGGTAACAAGTCTCAATCTTTGAAAATGAGTGAAGGACTATTTTGAAACAATATATCTATCTATCTATCTATCTATCTATCTATATATAAGTGTTGCTTTGCTGCTTGTGACTTGTCATTTTTTTTCCCATGTTGCCCTTAGCTTGTTTTGAAATTATTATTTTTCCTTTTAGTTTTGTTGATGAAACAATTTGGATAGTAGTCTTTTGAAAATTATGTAATAAATTTTGGTTGCTTTTGTTGAGAAGGTTTGTCTTGGGTTGTCTATTTTGTCTTTTTATTTTGTATAATTTACTAATAGTGTACTAATTTGAGTGAAGATTTTTTCGTAAATATGCAAACATTCTTGGTTAATTATGAAAAATAAATCTTTTATTTTTTTAACAAATTACAAATATACCAATAAAATTGTTAAAAATATGAATTAGTCCTATAATACTGCAAATTATAACTATCGTTTATTACAAATTTTAATTTAACACAATAAACACACACAAAAAAAAAAAAAAATCTCTCTTATGCAATAATAAATTATCAAAATTATTCATTAAAAAATATTTCTCATATTATTAAAAACTATTAATTGACTTAATACTTTATTTATTAACACAAAATTAAGAGCTTAGAATCACAATTAAACTATTTAAAATTATAAAGAATAAAATAACACAATATGTATATATAATTACAGATGTAATTAACCCAAAAGATTTTGTAATTATGTTAACAGGCTACAAACAAATCATAAAAAAAAAAAAAATCTTGTCAACATGGCTAAGTCTTCGTTTGGTAATTGAGTTGGGTTTAAATTCGGATTAAAAAAGTACAAAAAGATAAAATAGGTTACATAAGTCAATAACACAAAATATCACACCTGAAAATTATCAAAATTCAAAATTTAAAGATACTACAATAATAGCCCGTGTGCTTAGCTTCTTGAGGTTTGTCTTTTCTTTCTGATTTTGCCCTTTCATTTTGAATAATTTACTAATAGTGGCTTATATGTTGAGTGAAGGTTTTTTTTCGTAATTACGCAAACATTCTTGGTCAATTATGCAATAAGCTTTTTCGTAATTACGTGAATATTCTTAGTCAATCATGAAATAAGTTTTTTCGTAATTACGTAAATATTCTTGGTTAATTATAAAACATAAATCTTTTATTTTTTAACAAATTACAAATACACCCATAAGGCTTGTGTAAAATAATAATGGGTCCTATAATACTCAAAATTACAACTATCGTCTGTTATAAATTTTCATCTAACACAATATTCAGTGAAAGAAAAAACCAATTCTCTCATGTAATAATAAATTATCAAATTTTTTTTTATTGAAAAATATTTCTTATATCATTAAAACTGTTAATTGACTTAATGATTTACTTATTAACAAAATGGTTAACTGAAAAATATTTTTCATATCATTAAAAATTATTAATTTACTTAATGATTTACTTATTAATATAATTGGTCATTTGTTATGTGAGTATGATTTATGTATTAATAAAATTAGTTATTTGTATATATATATGCATTTTTTTTTTGTTTCTTTATTAGTTCAGTGAATTATCTTAATAACTTTTTTTTATATGGGAGAATTATCTTAGTATTTATTTTATATTCATCTATTGAGAAAAGCTATACACCATATTTTTTTTAAAATAATTTTGAAAGAAATGTTAAAAACTCATTAATTTTCCAAAAATGATATAGTAATAAAACTAGAGTCTACATCATTAGATATATAACAAATTAAAAAGTGATACTTATTATACCACATAATTTTATTATATATCTAATAATTTATTTTATTCAATTTCATAGAACAATATTTTAATTTTTTTTTAAATTATCAAATTATAAATTTAAATATACTGTAATAATAATTCGTACCTTGTTCGAATCACTACGCCAAAACAGGGCATTAACGGCGGTTTTTTTAACGGCGGTTTCGTTACCGCCGTTTAAAGATACTATTAACGGCGGTAATGAAACCGCCGTTAATACCGCCGTTAATGTATCTTTAACGACGGTTTTGTTACCGCCGTTTAAAAAATCGCCGCTGTAATGACCCTTTAACGGCGGTAATGAAACCGCCGTTAAAAAACCGCCGCTAAAGCCATTTTTAAACAGCGGTAATGAAACCGCCACTAAAGCCCTCTCATTACCGCCGTTAATGACGGCGGTCTTTGTTGGCCGAGCTCCGGCGGAGCACCGGTGAGTGGTGACCACGCGCAGCTAGGGTTGAACATGACCATCTACAATAAAGTAAAAGTAATGTTTAAATATTTATTTAGGAAATATATTTCATGAAGAGTGGTTGTAGTGGAGTGGTTGGTGTGGGTGGATGAGAGGTTGAGGGTTCAAGACTTTGGGAGTGCAAAAAGAAAGAATTATTTTTTGAAAAATTTGAACCTATTTACGGCGGTAAAGAACCGCCGTTTTTGGTCGACTTTTAACGACGGTAATTTACCTTTTTATGACGGTTGTATTTTTTCCGACACGCGCATAAACGGCGGTAACGAAATCGCTGTTAATACCGCCGTTAAAGGCTTTAACGGCAGTTTTATAGCCTTTAACGGCAGTAAAAAACCGCCGCTAAAGCCCAATTTTGACGTAGTGAATCTTCTTAAACTAGTATATATATATATAAGGCATTTTCTTTGGCCACCAATAACCTATTGTTATTATTTTACTCTGGGAAGAAACTATTGTTACTGTATAAGTGTGGTTTTGTAATAATATTATCAATCAAGGGGATAGTCATAGGCATGAGGCTGTCATAGTGGAAAACTATCATATTTGTGGATTTGTTGAAAGGAAAATGTTAAAAGCAATCCTCACTACAAGAAACTATATTTTTGGCGACTAATGTTTTAGTCGTCAAAAGCATTGATTTTAGTCGCTGAAGCGATTTCCCGATCAAAAATTTTAGTCGCTGGCTTTGTCGCGGGTACATTGTCGGTGAAGGTAGTGGCGACTAAAAAAAATTTAGTCGCCAAAGGTCCAACACAAATGGCGACTAATACGTTGGTAGGCAAAAGTATCAGGTATTAGAGACTAAAAGTGACTTAGTCGCGGATGAGTGACATTGGCAACTGACATGTTAGTCGCCCAAAGGGTACATCAATTCATGTAACTAACATTTTCAGCTACTATATCTTTGGTCGCGAAAAAATCAAAAATCTACGGTGACCAAATTATTAGTTGCCAAAAGTGTTATTTTGAGCTACTAAATTTTTAGTCGCGGAAAGGTTGATTATTCTTTAGCTACTACAGATTTTAGTCGCGTATGACATATTTAATTATGTTTTGGCAACTAAATATTTAGTCGCCAAAACTTTTTTGAGTTTTATCTACTACAAAATTAGTCGCCAAAATTGTTTTCAATTTGTTTTTGGCTACTAAATATTTAGTGGCCAAAAATGTTTTTACTTTTTGCTACTAAACAATTTGTCGCCAAAACTTTTTTTTATTTTGTTTTGGCTACTAAATGTTTAGTTGCCAAAATATTTATTTCTTTTTTTGGCTACCAATTGTTTTGTCACCAAAAATATCATTTTTTATTTTTGTTTTGTTTTTTTCATTTTAATAAATTTGTTCACAACTTGTATGTATTCACCACTACTTGTAATAGGTATACAAACAAATCAATATATATATTGTTAGAAATTGGGCGCCCATGTGGCATGACCCTTTTCTGAACCTTTTGAACCTTATCCAAATAAGTTTGAATTTGAATTCAAAACCTATTTGGATAACCACTCAGGATATCTATATCTATCAGATCAACTGATATGGATAGATGATATAGAGATCTTATATATCTAATATAACTGATATGAATAGATTTATTATTATCCTATATATCTGATATAATATGGGACATGGGTGATTAAGAGAATAATAACGTATGTCGTATGTTGTTTTCCCATATTCTGACTTTCTCCCAAAATACAACGATCAAGAGCCATTTTGCACTGTGACTTGTGTGGGTGATATTCATTCTGTAATATCACTCCACTGCTGGGTTGATTGATCAGATTCAGGAAGCACGTGATTTACCCATGAGATCCTTTCAATTCAGACTCTGCAGAAAAAGGTATGCCCATAATTTTTATCCGCTGTGTTTAGCGTGATGGGTATTTTCGTGTTTTCTCTAATCATGTGTATATTTTTTATATATATATGTACACATTATATACATGAATGTTTATAAAGGAGGAAAATTTCAACTCCCATTAGATTGAGAGTGTGGTACACCTCATTTTTATGTTTATTAACTATGTTTTTTGATGCCATAAATGTTTTTGTTGTGAAAAATGGAGTCCGGCAATACAAAAATTGGACCAAAAAACACCTTGGAAGGCGTTGCGTGGTCCGCACATGCCACCTAACGTCGTGAGCTGCTTACACGCGCTACCACACGCCTCCACGCGCGCATCAGCGGCGCTGTCCACGCGTGCGCCCTTCGCGCCACACACGCGCGCCGCGTGCGCTGAGCCGCATTGTTTTTCTCCGCCGGATTGGCTGGCTTGGCATATGGCTCTGTTTGTTCTGTTTTAAATTCTGAATCGCGTTAAATGGTCATAATTAATTCGTTATAGCTTTGTTTTAAGCGTGGTTGGTACTGTTAGACTCAGAATTAAATTTTTTATCTTCTATAACATTTTGAAAATTTTATGAAAATAAAAAATATTTTTCTTGACATAATAATTCATTATTTCTGGTTTAAAATGCATCTGGTGTTACATGATTAAGTTTCTGGGGCTGAATTTTTTGTTGTAGACTACTGTTGTAGTTTACTATTTACTGGTGTAGTTATAGCAATTTACCAAATTCTTGAATATTTATTTCTAATTGTATGTGTGTTTATTAGTTATTTAAAATTCCAGAAAATACCAGAAAATTCTAGAAAATTTCAGAAGTGATATAGTTTCTGTTATGGCATAATTTGAATATTAAATACAGCATATTATTATTTTTTTTCCTAAAGTTTCTAATATGTTGTAATTAAAATAGCATGATTAATTGTTATTTGTTTAAATTCCATTATTAATTGTGACATAGCATGAGTTGGTTGTGAATCTAAATTATGATGCTATTATATGGAATTAGAATTTTTTATCATGCTTTTAGACATGCCATAGTTAGTGGGAGGTTATTCGGTTGAGAGAAATCTTTGTAGATTAACTCCCGAAAACTAATATTTTGCGCATAAATTAAATTAACTTTTGGATAATTGT